ATGGCAGCTAGGCACCGAAAGGGTGCTACAACTGAACGCTTTTTTTTTTTTTACTATTTTTAAAGCCCTCTTAGTGGTTATTTTGAACTAATGGTAGATTAGATATATATTGACTGTTTTTGTACTGTGTTTCGAATTTAGACGATTTTTTTCGGGCGTCTACAATGATTGGACCATTTTCCTATTTGAGAGAACAACTAAGCAGATATTTGGTCTTGTTGAATTCGACCGAACCCTACTCACAAGCCCATTAAGAGCCCAATGTAAAGTAATGGAAGATTGACTTTCGGCTGTGCTAACTTTGTGCTGGGTTGTCTACGGATTATTCGTGATATTTACCGAACCTTGGCTAATTGCAGGAGGCAATGCGAATATGATCTGGGTTCTGAGTATCATTGATACGGGCCCCCACTTTGTCCGAGGAGAGCACTGTTAGTCTGTTCCACTTTTGAACTGCAGTTAGCTTGGGTATTCCATTGTTTGGAGCATAAAGCCGTGTACACAAGAAGTTGATTGGGTTTGCCTTTTTCATGTATCGGATATGTCTCACGAGTCGTGTGGTCCATTGATCCATCGTTTGCGTGTGCTGAGGGTTTCAGAACCATTCCTTGTTTTTTCACATTCTTTACCGTGATCCGCTTCAATTTATCCGGTAAAGAGTAGAATTGGCTGGGATGGAAGTGAAAAAAGCACCGTGAACATCCTTGAGGACGACCAAGACGAATTTGCTTTCAGCAACTTCTTGTGTACACGGCTTTATGCTCCAAACAATGGAATACCCAAGCTAACTGCAGTTCAAAAGTGGAACAGACTAACAGTGCTCTCCTCGGACAAAGTGTGGGCCCGTATCAATGATACTCAGAACCCAGATCATATTCGCATTGCCTCCTGCAATTAGCCAAGGTTCGGTAAATATCACGAATAATCCGTAGACAACCCAGCACAAAGTTAGCACAGCCGAAAGTCAATCTTCCATTACTTTACATTGGGCTCTTAATGGGCTTGTGAGTAGGGTTCGGTCGAATTCAACAAGACCAAATATCTGCTTAGTTGTTCTCTCAAATAGGAAAATGGTCCAATCATTGTAGACGCCCGAAAAAAATCGTCTAAATTCGAAACACAGTACAAAAACAGTCAATATATATCTAATCTACCATTAGTTCAAAATAACCACTAAGAGGGCTTTAAAAATAGTAAAAAAAAAGGAGCGTTCAGTTGTAGCACCCTTTCGGTGCCTAGCTGCCATGCCATCCGAATGAAGCACGGGGGTTGGAATACTGCTAGGTTGCCCAAGCCTAGACAGCGAAAGTCGAGAGGCGGAGGTCGGATTTGAACCACGGACCTTCCCGTCAGTAAATCTGCGCTCTTACCACTTGGGCCATCTCGCCCCCTTTAAGAATAGTGGACAATTGTGATTCTAGCCTGCCATATCCCTTAAGACCCCATTAGACAAACCCAAATAGTGCAACCAGCAGATGATTAACCAGCTGAAAGCATATAAGCACCGAGGGTATCCGAGCCACTCGACGTGGTAGATAAATTTGTTTCCCTGGGCAGCTGTATAAGTTCCGGAAGACTGGCTGGAGATGAGGTTACTTGTAGAATCGGGGCAGCTTTTGCCAACCTCCGACATCTATGGCGCCGACGTGACGTGAGCCACTCTGTCAAGGGAAGAGTTTACACTGCGATGGTGCGATCCATACTGCTTTATGGATCAGAGACGTGGCCCTTTGCGCGCAGAGGACATACGGAAAATGTCAGTGTTTGATCATCGGTGTCTCCGCAGTAGTGGTCGGGTCTGGTGGGAACATCGGATTAGTAATGCTGAGGTACGCCAAATAGTCTGGGGAAAAAGGAACTCTCCCGCGATAGATGAATTACTCACGCTTCATAAGCTGAGCTGGTTAGGACATATGCTCCACATGCCACAATACCGATTGCCTCACAGAGCTCTTTTCGCCCAGCCCTGTACTAAGTGGAAGTAACCGAGAGGTGGACAGTGTATGACCTGACAACGAAGTATGAAGACACTAACGAGTAAACTTAGCCGGGTGGGCAACTGCCGCCTCCCTGGATGGAGACCCCGGGACTCAAATAATCAGTAGTTAATGACACTGGCGGAAATGGCCCAATCGCACAGTCAGTGGCGCTCGTGCATTTAAACTATTGCCCCCAATGCGTAGCTACTGACTGAATTAAGGCTTAACTGTGCCTGTTAGGTTTGCGATAGCCTAGTGTCGGCTCTAACAGAATATTCTGACAAGCTGAGATGCTTTACAAAATAGTTAATTAACTGAGGAATGCCAGCCTCCGACAACAAAGATTGCGTCGGTTTATCCTCTGAACGTCCTGAAAGGAAGCATGCTTTTGGGGGCAAGTTTGAAATTACCTTGAGGAGGCCAGTTTCATAAGCTTTCAAAGGATTGCAAAGTTAAGCCTAATTTTTCATACCGACATGCAGGAAGAGATTTTCAAAACGTTCGACGAATGTTCATGTTGAGCCTTGTTGTGTTTGATATCGAGGTCAACTCAACTGCCTAGGGGTCAACGCAAGAGTTCTGTAGGTCCTATTTGTAATAAAGGTTTGCCATACCGTATCGTTTTCCACTGTTCATTACTACTTATTTCTACTTCCTAGGTATATTTTTATGCCTCTTATTGTTTGATTTCAGCCTTGTGCTGTAGTCTGACGTAAACATGCCTCCTAATGTCTTCCGGATATGGACCCTAGATAGTGGTTATTTTCCATATAGTTTCATCTGGTGATGAAGCTGTGTTGTTTCAAGATTTTGCCTGGAGAGGTGCGAGTCGGCCTCAAAAACAACCGTGATTACCGCTATCCAAGAACGCTGATCACTGGTCACACTCATGTAGTTCCAATGACAAATTCTGTGGGAAGGAGGAAGCTAATTCTCTTGACAGGTGTGGTAAAGATTCCGAAATGGATACACAACCCTAACTTCAACTAGAGACCTATCGCGGTGGGACTGGGTCGTGTGTCCGGGTTACAGTGATGGCTGTGTTGTTGTATAGTTTCGAGACATAATCTGTGTGGACAGATGATGTGACGCGTCTAGAGTATAGTATTCAGGGCAAAAGATTAAGTCGAACAGTGATCACTCACTGGATAGTATGCAGTTCTTGCGGAAGGGTGACAGATTGACGTTACAACACAGCTCACTCTAACAAAGAATGCAAGATGCTGAGCGGCTGCATTCCCAACGCGAAAATGATACGCACACAACAGAGGCACACACGATGCTATAGATATGAGGGTAACAACTATCACCTAGGAATAGTTAACTGACCCCAAGTTTTTGGTGGTGTCTAAGCTGGCAGGTTGGTTTCATTGAAAGTCGTTTTCACCGTTCTGTGGAGCTGAGTAATCTGGGAGAGTGGTGTCTATGTGATGTGGTGCCCGATGGTCTACCGGTTTCTCTCGCTTTCTAAATACGGCAAATGTGTGTTCCACAAAGGTGAGCGCTGTGTAGAAAAGACCTGTCGATCAGGCGTATGGGCTGTGTTCTTGTACCAATGACAAGTCGGCTGAACTTTTCGTGGGAAAGTAGAAGCTAATGATATAATAAGGTCTGAGATAGTATTATGTCTACCTTATATACGCTATGTGCTATTCATTCACCTAGAGATAGTTGATGAATCAAGACCTTTTCAGCTGTGTCGGAACAAGCCCCCTGGTGAACAAAAACTGGTTAAGGAGGCGATATCAGAATTTTTGGGGAATTCGACTCTTCAGATATTGCTTCGCATTATTTATTAGTTACCATATATACCATAATCGTTTACCAATAGAACCATGCTTGATGTGTGCAAACAATTATGTGAGTTGTGAGACTAGAGAGAATGTCCACAGTACCTTACTTGCCGTCAGCTTGATAATCTGCGGTGTGATTTCCCGGAGATGTGCGAACGCCGGTGTCTAGCAGTCGGTTCCTTTTTTGACTTAGCAGCCAACGGCGCTCAACCTGTAGACGACTAGATATGGTCATCTCATCGGGGACTCGATGAATGAATTTGGCGAATCACTAAAGAGGCTACTGAAAGTGGTATGCAATGGAGTAACCGGAACGTCTACACTCAGAATGGTCGATAATATGAGAAGCTGCAAAATATGAGTGAGGAAAACAAACACCTGAAGCCTTGTGAAATGTGCCAAATTTTTTGCACTCGTTGACATACTGTGGGGAAATTGATATGCTTGGACCAGTTAGGATACCTGTGTATGGCAAAGTGGTTGCGGCCTTGACAGTGGTTTTTTTGTTTCCACCATGGAAACAGGGTTCCATGATATCAAAGAACGAATTGATCACCTTAAAGTGAGAATCCACACCTACATTCTTGAAAGGGAAGTGCTAAGGTGAGTCATTTTATTCTCGCCGACAACCTTAAGATTGGAGAGCACTTTGAACGAACCGTCTGACTGTGTGAAGGTAAGTTTTTGCTGTCCATTACCGGCTTCCCTTCCAGGTAGGAGAAAAACTGCGATTGTTAAGAACAGAACGCAGGCGCTGCAGAGAACGCACTCTCGAGCTTTTGTGTTCTTTTCCATTCCTGTCAAATGAAATGGAACGCGTCGTTTCTGAGTCGTGAATGCAAGAAAACGCACGTTATTTTTTCTCTGAATAAGGGGTCACTCAGCAACTGCCGTCGATTGGAAGAAAGTTGGCTGAGCTTTGTCAGCTCAACTTCTGGACCCTCCAGAGCCATAAAACATCCTTAATCCCCTGTATTTTGATTGATTATGACAACTGCCGTCGATTGGAAGAAAGTTGGCTGAGCTTTGTCAGCTCAACTTCTGGACCCTCCAGAGCCATAAAATATCCTTAATCCCCTCAATGTATTTTGATTATGACAAATATATCTACTAAGCCCCGTTGTTTTTGGTCGGTTTGCCTGCTGAATTCTCGGTTTGAACTGACCTTGTGGTTGCTTTTAATGCGCCGTTTGGCGGAGGCGGGGTTGTTGCAAGGGAAGCCGTCGTTAATGACGCTGACGTGTCTTTCAAGTTTTCGTATGTACGATAATGTTCGGTCTTTTTCCAGGACTTCCAGGTAAAATGTCCGTATCCAACTGTTTTTGTTTTTCTACCTGAATTCTAGTATCATGTCTGAACTTTCAATATCGTATTTGGGATGCGACGTCCTTGTAGTAGAGATAGGATATTTTAGTCTTCAAATTTTCGTCTCTGATGCAACTTTCAAACGTTGACGGGATTTCAGGGACCATTTTTGGTCCAATTTGGATGTTAGCTCTGCATTTAGTTGATATGCGGACTTACTGTCTATTGTCGAATCCGCCATGCTAGGAATTACTAATCCGTCCATGACGGTGGACTTCAATATTTTATCATAGTATTCAAAGGGTGTGCATTGAGCGACCATTAGTTTTCATTTTTTGCTTCCTCGCCTGGTGTGCTGAATTGCGTGGGGGTACTTGGTCAGTGCGGCGTATACCTAGTTCAGTAATTCACAGTTGTGTTGGCCTCGCACCACCACACAACTGACTGCGATCCAGGATTAGACTCATGTGAAATATGTCTTCTTCCTTGCATCGGTCGTTCCTTTTGGTTGAGCTCAATTCGGACGCTGTCTGTTGCGGATCATTGGTAGCCTAGTCCCACAGCTCGTAGCATATGTTGGGTCAGTGAAATCAGTTGGTATAGCTACTGAGCGATTATGGAGTGTAGCTCATCGAATTGTACCACGAGCGACTCTCGTGTTGGCGGTGTTCAGTATGCATCTAACACGGGAATAGAAAAAGCCTCGACAGCGGGCGATGGCACTGTGTTGGAGTTTTAGCTTCAGGTGGTGATCTCGAAGGTTGGTGGTGGTCCATAAGCATGGCAGCGAGCGACCGCAGATATTGGGTATTGTAAAGATTAGAAACGCATGAGTCTTCTCGAAACATCTTATAGGACAGAATGCAAGTTTAGTGCGGTAACTCGTTCGCTGTAGATACAGTCATGTAGCTTCCTTACGAGTTGCGCTTCTGTTGTGGCTGCTCCAGTGTTTTCTGTTCGCGCTTCAGCCATTGGCTCCAGGTCTTAGCGATGTACTTCGGGTTAGGTCAAGCAACTTGTCGAATATTTCTCGGGCGCTTCCACACAGCGATGCTAACAACTCATATCGAGTTACCCCGATTGCTGGATATTTCTCGGTGGCAACAGTTGGTGGGCAATAGGGCGAAAAGCAAAACCTCCATGGTTTCGGTATTTTGTAGGAAGGCTGTGAACTTCAAGAACTTTGAAGGACAGGTGGCTATCTTCAGACCATTGATAGACTACAGGAAATTCCTGGCGTACTTCGTCCTGAGATGTCCAGATGCTCCAAATCTTGATGTCATCAGCAAATAGCTTACTTAGCAATGATATTGTTACTAAGAAATGATCCAGGGGGCAGGGGATGCAAATTTTTTCAGCACAGTCCCGTGGTGCACCGTAGCGGTGGAGGCTGGAGTCTGACTTCGCTCCACACTCTGGCTTGGTCTTTGGTAGATCGGTTGGTTTTGTTTCCATCGCCTTATCGGTGGTCACTATTGTCCATCACGGCGAGACTGGACCTTACATTGGTTACACGGTTTGCGCACCTAAGCGATCCATTGAGCTATACTGGAGAGTGTCCCGCGACACTCACAGAGTCTCTCATACCAGGTTGGTCAATGGTTAGAGGTCTAACGAACACAGTCTCCTGGCCCTCCAGGTTGG